AAAAAAAAAAAAAAACATGCCACATGCGGGACTGGACTGCAGTTGCAAACTCGGCCGCGCGATTTTTGTGCATGTCAAGAGTTTCAACTGCAGTTGAAACTTGGGACGGTACTGGACTCCAAACAGGCAGTTCGAAATGCATTTACAAACGGCTTTCGTTTTTTTTTGAGGCCGGGGTCCTCACAGTCTACCCGGTGGGAACCGTCTGGGAGCGTTACCCAGTTTCGCTTACAGGGGTGAGCCCTGCAGGGGACCCACCGCCTGATAGACAAAAGGCAAAGCCTAGACCAGACTACTGCCTAGACTACTGGCCAACCAACTGTTTGCTACCCTCCTAAGTCGGAGGGGAGGAACCTGTAACGGTTCCAGTAACCCGGTGATGCTCACTCCAAACCCCCACGTCCCTCATTCTACTGCCTTCCTACCCGCGGAACGGAAACCGAGCATCTAGGTTGTTAAACTCCGTCTAGCAGCCACGGGTCGAACTTGAAAGAGCTGCCCTCCATTTTCACCAAATTGCCTCCTTCAGCCCAGGTAACTCTGAACCATTCCACACCTGGGGTTACCTGTGCTGTACCGCCGACCTTTCTTCTCCAGTCACCCTTGATTGTGCGCCTGATGTGTGTTTTGACTGAAGCCTTGATGATGGGGTCGGAGATGAATCTTCCCTCGAACACCTTTTTGTTTCTGACTTCCCAGATCACTGAGAACAGCGAGGCTCTCAGGGCCTGGGCAACATAGCCCCAGCCTCTGTGCAACTGGAGCTCGTCCGGGACTCCCCCGAGGAGAATCCATTTATCGTCCCATGGGAATATTGGACAACTGATTCTGTCCCAGTGTGATCTCCACCAATCCCATATTCTCTTGGAGAAGGCGCAGGACAGTCATAGATGTGTCGTTGATTCGAATGGCCATCTGCACCTCCCACACTGTAACTGAACTGTCATCCCTCTCTGTACTAGCCACACAGCCGAGGGGGTAACTAGTAACGAGAGAAGCCACAACAATGCGGCCGCTCTTGGCACCGGAGCGTACTGCAATTGCTTTCGTGACTGAGCCCTAGTTACCCCTTTTTTTTATTTTTATTTTTCCAAATTGTTGTGCGGCTTGCCACCACCAAAAGAATTTCTTGGAAAAACGCCGGCCGGCAAGGTGTTCTTAGCTAGTCCTACCGTAGTGGGGTATGGGCCTCATTAGACCCTCCTTGGAAAATCCTCAGGAATTAGGACGAGGTCCTTGGAAAATTTTTCGGTTTTCAGCGTCGTTGTTACACCGCGTCCTAATTTGATGGGTCCCAAGGAAAACCCTTGGAGGCCTCCGGCGGCCAATTTCATATGCATACACGTGGCCGCAGGGGGCGGATGTCCGTCATTGTGCTGGGATGTTCGTGCGTCGTCGGCGTGGTCCAGTGGTGGCGACAGGGAGGCCCGTCGCAGGCCAGCAGGGTGGGAAAAAAAATTGGCGCGACCATCCCAGTTCAAATTTTGAAATTTCAAACCTTCGTAGTGACGCGTCCGCACCAGAGGCGAGAAGGCCGCTGGAGTGCACACTGGAGCCAAACATCCGTACGGAGGAGTACTGGCGGGCATTGAAACTCACGCCGGCGTAGCATGAACGGTAACGGTCATCCTGCGCGACGTCGCCAACGAGTTCCACCTTCCTCTACGGGCCGTCCATGACAATCCTGTGGACTGCCATAGCTGACCACGTACGTCGGGGGGGTGCGTGAAGCATGGAATTCCGTGAAGCACGTAGAGTGCTGCCGCCACATCTGTCGACGTGGAGACAAGGGAACGAGAGCGCCGGCAAGCAAAGGGGTGTTGGGCATAGTTGCACGTCATGCACATGGAGGGAGAGGTGCGGGTCGTTGGGAATGCATTGACGACTTCGGAGAGAAATGCCGTGGTTGCGTCTGTGTCGGCCGTCGCCATTCGTTATCGCATTGAGAGAGCCACAACTCGCCTGAAGATGAGACTGTCCATTCGCCGGCAAAGGCAGCTCATGCAACAAGTTATGGCGGCGCTCGATTGTGTGTCGTTGTTAGAATCCATTGTGCAATTCTGCTGCACTATGGCATCGGGTGCGATTCCGCGGAAACACAAAGAAGACAACGCATGCGAGAAAGATGCATTCGCCCACGTGCACGTAGTTTTTTTTTTTTTTTTAACATAAAAAGGCGTCATTCTCATAATGGGTTCCTTTTAAATGCACGCGACACAAAAACAGCTACGTCAACCGACCACAGCGACAACCACCGACACCAACACAACGCCTGTCCATTAGCAAAGCCCCGCCCGACGGACGTGGCAACCCCTCCACCAACCCCTCCTCTAGTTCCCCCGCCACCTCCTTTCGTTCCCCCACCCCCTCCTTCCATTCCCTCTCTCTCTCTCTCTCTCTCTCTCTCTCTCTCTCTCTCTCTCTCTCTCTCTCTCTCTCTCTCTCTCT